GGTTTGAGCAGGTTCCGACTCGTTTCCCGGCGAGAAGAGGTCCGGCAGGGCTGCCCGTGCCCCTGGGTCTCCGCGGGTAATAATGGGGCCACCTCAGCCCAATTATTGAGCGTCTGCCCGACCCGCAACCTAAAGCCCCGAGTCACGCCGGCCGGAGGAACACATGGCCCCGTCACGCGCAGAAGGGCCCCGCCGGCGCCGATCGGCCCGCGCCCCCGTTGGCAGTCACACCTCCCATCCTCCCTCCGCACCGGCCCTCTGCCTGACGCTCTGGGCGCGCCGCCATCTAGCCAGCCCGAAGGGGGGTCCTCGATCCCTCGAAAGGGCAGGGGGGCTGTCCCCCCATACCCCGGCGGGGGCTGGCACACCCTTCTCCCCTACTCTTCCTCCCGCCCCCCCCCCGCCCCCCCCGCCCCCTCCGCTGTCTGAAGATCTCTCCCTCTCCCCCCTTCTCGGCCCGCAGCCCTTCCTGTCCCCTTCCCTCCTCGCCCGGGATCCAGACGCGCACGCTCGACGGCCTCCCTCTCGCCGGCCGCCGCAGCCGCCCGGATGAGCGCCGATCCCATCGCCGCGGCCGCCGCCATGGACAAGGCCCGGCGCTTGTGTCGCGCCGTGGTGCACAGCCTCCTGGAGGCAGTGGTCTTGGAGCCGGCTCTCGCGCCTGCCGACCTGCACCCGGCTGTCCGGCGCTGGACCGAGCCCGGCCCCCTGGCGGATCTCCTGTCGTCATTGGCACTGCAGCTCCTGCCGCCGGCCGGCTCCGGTGCCCGGAGGCAAGCTTGGCCCCTTGCCGATGAGGACCGTGTCCTGGAAGCATGCCAGCTTTTGGGGGCGCTGTTCACCTGCGCCGGGTATTCGGACATGCGTGCCGGGCTTCCCACCGCCCGGCAGCTGCTGCTCCGGTGCGCGCGGCCTTCCTCGGCCACCGGCCCGGCCGCCCTGCCGCCACTGTCTGGGCTCTTTGATGTGGACGAGCTGGCCCTCGACGCGACCGGCGCCCGGGCCGGCGCGGGTCCGGCTGCCGACCCATTTGCCGCGGCCCTCGCCCGGTCTCGGCGCGACGTCAGTCACCTTAACGGATACCGGCCCCGAGACCCGGGGGCTTCTGCCCTCCCGGTCCCGGTGGCCGAGGCCCTTCTGCGCGAGTCCCTGGCCACCGCCCTGCCCAAAGCGCCCCCCTCCGCCGCCTCCGCCGCCGCCGCCGCCGCCGCCGCCGCCGCCGCCGCCGCCGCCGCCGCCACCACCCCCACCACAATCCCTGATGCCAGTGGGGAAGATACCCCGGATCCGCTGTGGATGGCACTGTCGTTGTGCCTCTCGAACTTGCTGGATCTGGTGTGCCTGCACCCGGAAGAGGCGGCCGTGCAGCCGCGCGCCATTCGCCGCGCGGCCGGCCGCGCCCTCAGCCGCTGGGTGGCCCTTGTGGTGGCCGTCTGCCCGGGGGATGGCGCTGCCCCGGCGGCCGCCCTGCGGCCCGTCCTGCCGGGGATCAGCTCGACCCTGGCGCGGCTACTGGCTCCCGGGCCGGGGGACAACCTGGCCCCCCCGGCCCCGGGCCTGGCCGGCAGCGCCCTCCTGACCTTGGGCACCGCCTGGCTGGTGAGCTTCTCCCGGGGGATTGTCCCCGATGCCGATGACCCGGCCGAGGCCCAGCAACGCGCCGCCCGGGTGGCCGACACCGTGCGTCGGCCCTTCACCAGCCCCACCCTCACCGGGGTGTTGAATGCCACCGGCCAGGGGGGCCTGGACGCGGGGGTCCTCGGCCGCCTGCCCGGCACCGGGGCGGCCCGGCCAGACACGGCGGTGGAGGTGCTCGCCTCGTCGGACGTGGGCCCGGCCGACGAGGCGACCCCCCCGGCCGATCCCCGGCCCGGCGATGGTGCCCGGCTGCCGGTTGATCCGACCCTCTCGCGGCTGATGCTCTCCCTCAGCCTGGGGCTGCTGGTACGTGTGACCGTCCTCCCTCTTCGCCTTCGCCGCGCGCCCTCCTGCGTGGGCTGTGGCCCGTGCAGATGCCCGCCGATCTGGTCTGACTCTGCCCCCCATTGGCCCCGCTCTCCCCTGCTCTTTTGTGCTTTCGCCACAGGGCACCGATCCAGCACTGTCCAGTGCCGTGGCGGCCGATTGCGTGTTCTTCCTGTTGAGTTCCTTCGAGGCGGAGCGCCACCTGGCGCAAGCCCTCAGCCCCGCCGGCAGTGCATACCCCCCGGACCCCACGCAGCACGGCATGGGGTCTCTCGATGTCCAGGCGGCCGGGACCCTCGATTCGGCGGCCGCACTCAGCCAACTCCGAGACCGCCTCTGGGGCGCGGTGTCCCCCTCCAATGCCGAGGACATCCTCTTCCTTCGCCCTGGTGCCGCCACCGGCGCGGCCTCCCTCTCGGCCGCGGCTTCCTCGCCGCAGGACCGCCTCCGCCAGCTGAAACTCCGGGCCCAGGGGGGAGCGCTCGTGCCGCCGGCCGCCGCTGCCGCCGGCGACCCGGCCGTCGCACCCCTTCGCACCATGGTGGCCGGTCTGCTGGATGCCGGCCTGGCCCTTGTATTGGACTCGCGGGCGGGCCAGTTTGGCGCCGGGACCGGGGCCGGGCCCCCCGCCCCGGCCCCCGGCGACCTGGGCGTCCTCCTTCGGCGGCGCGCCGACTCCCTGGCCCTGGCCCGGCTGGTGGCCGGTGCCCTGTTGGTTTGCCCGACCGGCGGCCTGCCTGGCACCGATGGGCTCCTGGATGTGGGCCCCCGGGCGCCGGCTCTCATGGCGGCCGGCAGCATGCTGCTTGGCGAGGCGCTCCAAGCCCCGGGGGCCGAGGCGGCTCTCGGCCGGCATGGCGGCCCCCAGCCCGCCCAGGTGCCTCCCACCTGGGAGTCCGTCGGGCAGTCGCTCGGTCGGGTGGCCGGGCTCCTGCCGTCGGCCGGCCGGGCAACCCTCGCCTCGGCAGCCATCCTCGGGGCCCAAGACCCGGCCTCGGTGCGCGGTCTCATCCAAGCCGGCATGTACTTCGCCGAGGAGTGCTTGTCGGCTGGCGGCGCGACCGGCGGCGGCACGCCGGCTGGGCTCCTGCCGCTGGCCGGGTTCGGCCTCTTCGCCGGGCAGGTTCTCTGGTCGGCGGCCGGGCCTCTGCGCCTGGGCGCCCCGATGGCCATCGGCGGTGGCGACGGCCCCGCGGCCACCCTGCAGACGGTGGCCGAGTTTGCCCTTGGCCTGGTTGCGTCTGCTCTGGCGTGGGTGGGTGCCTTGGCGCCGGGGCTGACGCCGAGCACGGCGGCCCCCAGCCGCTGGGCCGTTTTTGCCCTGCTCCACCTGTGCCATACGGCCGGTAGCCTGCTGCACCTGGCCATGGGCCCGGGGCCGGCCGAGGGGGCCAGCCAAAGTGCTCCCCACCTTCGACGCCTGGTTCTCGAGCGCCTGGCCGGCCTCTGGCGCGACCAGGCCTTCCCGCTGCTGTTGCTCTCCGGCAGCCTGGCCGCGACGCCGGTGGCCGACGGGGCCCCGGCCTTCGGGCACTTGCTGCTCGGCCCCAGCCCGGGGGCCAGCCCCTCGGCGCCCGGGCCCGGGCCCGGGCCCGATGCCGATCCCCTGACGCGGGCCATCCGAACGGGGGCCACGGATTGCATTGGGCTCTTCTCGCTGCTGTTGCTGGGGCCCCAGCCGGCCGACGGGGCGGCCGGCGTCGCCTCCTCGCTTGCCTATGGCCCCCCCTCTGGGGGTCTTGTTGGGGCCCACTCGGCCGGTGCCCTGGTGTCGGGGCTGCTGGCCCGGTCGGCCGATCAGATTTCCCATTTGGTTTGGCAGCAGCTGGGCCAGGCGTCAACGCAGGTGGCGGCGCTCTTGGCGTCCAGCGGGGCCCCGGCCGGTGCCGCCGAGGCCCCGGCTCTGGAGCGTGCCCTGGTTCAGTCGACCACCGGCGCCTGCGGGCTCCTGTCGGCCATGCTGCACCTGAACCGGCAGGTGTTTGACGCCCAGCCGGCGGGGCTCAGCCCGGGCGGCCCGCAGCGCCTGGCTGTCCTTGCCCTTTTGCGGGATTCGGTCTCGCGTCTGGTCGACGTGCTGGATGCCGCGCTCCACATTGCTCATGGTGCCGGCTCCAGCCCCGGGAATATGGTTGCCCTGCTGAGCACCTTGACATCGGGTATGCAGATGCCAGGCCTGCCGGCCTGCCGGCCATCCTCCATCTTCTTTCCATCTGTCTCTCTCTCTCTCTCTCTCTCTCTCTCTTTCTCTCTCATCCTCTCCTCCCGCCTCCTTTGCCATGGAAAATCCGCTGACCCTCCTGTCTGCTCCGCCATCCGCATCGTAGTTCTTCTTCAGTATGCCTGCGCCATCGAGCGCGCCTGCGAAGAGTACATTGTCATGCCACCGGCAGCGGGAGCGCCCCCCGCATTGTGCCCCTCATCCGGTGAGGGAGGTTCACTCCCCGGGCTTGAGCCGGCCTTCGCCGAGTGGCTGCGCACCCGGCGTCAGCTCGCCGCGGACCGGGGTGCCGCCGAGTCGGCCGCCACCGCTGCCACAGCTCCGGCTGGTCCCGAGCCCGAGCATCGGCCACCCCTCAGTGTGGATGATTTCTTCGCGGACCCCCCCGCCTCCGAGGGCGCCGATGAAGACCCGGCCACATGCCAGCAGTCCGACGAGGCTGCCGAGTCGGAGGACGCCCCGGTCGACGGGCTGCCCAGCTACCTGTCCTCGCATCGGCTGCTGCTTGCGCGCATTGTCCGGCGGTACTGCCGGGTGGCCCAAGTGAGCGACCACTGGCCGGTCCGTGTGTTTGCCCTGCGCGTGGTGCGCTTCTGTCTGGGAGACCTGGCCCTCCTGCGCCACACGCCCGGGGTGCTGGCTTTCGTGCATGATGCCGTTTGGCCGGCCGTGCTGGGGTCCTTCGCGGCGCTGGATGTGGCCCTCGGCCACGGGGAGGATGTGGACGCCCTGCTGGAGAGTGCCATCGAGGGGGTGGCCTTGCTGTGTGCGCTGCTCCGCCGGCCGGGGCCCGATGGCCGGGAGGCCCTTGGCCCGGGGGCTTCTCGCCGGACCGGGGACCTGCCGCACGATTTGGCCGCCTTCCTCCGGCCGCGGATACTGGATGAGGTCCTGCGGCCGTTGGTGGTCCGGGTCCGGCGGGTGCTGCTGCCCCTGCTGGATGCCGGGTCCGAGGGGGATCGTTTCCGCGCGGCGGCCCGGCTGGCCGACCGGTGCATCCAGCTGGTGGACCTGCTCTTTGTGGCCGACGGGCCGCCCAGCGATCCGGGCACCGTGGGCGATGTGGTCGGCCTGCTGGCCATGTGCACGCACCGGACCCGGGCACCGGAGTCCCTGCGCCGCCAAGCACTGGCGACTCTGGTGGGCCGGGTGCGCCCGGGAGCCGCCGCCGGCTCGCCCGCGGCGCCCCTCTGGTCGTATCGTGAGGCCATCCGTGCGCGGTATGGCGGCCAGGGGGTCGGCGTGGTGGCCGGGCCGCGGGATCCCTGGTGGCCGGGCGCCCCCTCATCGACGGCCCAATTGTCGGGCCTGGCCCAATCCAACCCCACTTCGGTCTTCACCACCCTCCGGCTGTTGGCCCTGGCGGAGTATGTCCGGGGCGCGGCGCGGCAGACCCTGCGGGCCATGGGGCCCGAGGTGGAGCCCAGCCAGCGCCAGCTGCTTGAGCACTATGCGGCGGAGGCCCAGCCGGATGCGGCCAAGGCGGCGCGCGTGCGTTTGCTCCAGGCCGGCCCGGCGGCAACGGCCGCACGGGCCGCCGAGATGCCATCCCAAGTGGCGATGGTGTCCTCGACATGCTCCACGGCCGCTGTCCAGGCGGGGGCCCCGGCTGGTGCCGAGGCCGGGGCCCTGCTTCCGGTCGCCACGGCGGCATTCCTTCGGCCGGACCTTGCTGGGGGGGCGACCGAGTCGGCCCGTCGGGCGGCCACGCGCCTTGGCATTCAGCCGGTCCCGGTGCCGGTGCTGCCGAGCGAGCGGGCCTCGCTCTTTGCCACCGACATCGCCATTGACCAGCTGGACCTTGCGGCGTACATCCTCTAGAGAGCCATGCCTTCCCTCGCGAAGGGGAGGGGGATCCAATAGATCATGCGTGCACCGACTCCGCCCGGTGTCGGGGTAGCGGGGCTGGGCCGGGTGGCGGTCCCATTTTGGCCCTCTTTTTGTCAGTACACAGGGTGCCGCCTTGGGGGTGGGAACAGCCAGTCCGGGAAGACAAGTGCACGTGCATGTGCACATACACTCGCACACACACACACACACACACACACACACACACACACATGCATCCATCGAAGCACGCCTCAAGGAGGCATGTATCCTTGCATGCACACATATGCAGACACAAGGCATACAAGCACGCCGACGCGCACATGCGCTGACACGCAAATGACCGGGGAACAGTGCTGGCGGAGCAACTTGACAGGGATGCCCCCTGCGGGCACGCATGGCCGAGGGGCAGAGGATGATCTATATTGTTCGGACCGGGGATACAGGAGAAGGACGCGGAGGAACCGGGAGAGTGGGCACGGCCGAATGGGGCGGCCCGTCACCGCTGGTCGGTGGTCTGACCATCGACCAAGCGGAAGGGTGTCTGAGTAAGGCAAAGAGCCGGAGGGACCTGGGCCACCCGGAGGAGGTGGGCCAGCTGGTCGGAGCCAGGAGAGGGTGTCTGGCGATGGAGCCCCGACGCCAGACGAGAGGAGGACAAGGGGAGGGGCGGTCCCCGGGGAGCCGGCTTGGGCCGCGCCCCATCGCCGAGGGCCAAGCGCCGTTGGTGCTGAAGGATGCGCCCGACGGTTCGCGGCGACACGCCCAGCATTTGGGCGATCTCCGTCCGGGACAGGGCCCCGGACAGGCTGAGCACCCGGGCGCGGAGTTCTTCGCGCGGAAGGGACGTCCGGGTGGGCGGGCTGACAACCTGCCGGCCTGGCATGAACAGCGCCAGGGTGCTGCGCACCGTGTTCAATGCCACACCCACCTGCCGGGCGATGGCCGTCGGCGTGAAGTCCGGCCTTTGGCGAGCCAATTGGACGATGGCCTGCTGGCGGGCCGACCGCGGCCCCGGGGAGCCCCCATCGCCATAAGCCCCGGCCGGAGGTGACGCACCCGCGATCTCCCCCGGGGGAGATGCCCCCCCAGTGGGGGATATCCCGACGGGCGTCGCTGCCGCCCGGTCCAGCACACCGGTCGAGGACGCGTTGGCCGGCAACGAGTCGGCCGCTGGTGGTGCTGGAGCGGCGCGCGGCTTGCGTGGCGGTGTCAGCGCCTCGGGGACACGCGCGGCGGCCAGGCGCCGCAGGGCCGGCACCGACAGGCCAGCCTCCTGGGCAATGGCCCCGAGGGACTGCCGGTCGAGCGGCGACGCGGCCACCCGGCGCTCCAGCAGGACGAGTGCCCGATCCGCGGCCCCGGGAGCAAGGCGCTCGGCCCGGTGCCACACATGCCCCGGAATGGTGGCCTCGGCCAGGGCATACACGCTCTTCGGATCCATGCCCAGGCGCTGGGCCGCCCGGGTGACCGTGATGCCCGGCTCCTCCTGCAGGAGTTGGGCCACCTGCTCCTGCCGGCGGAGGGACCGCTGGCGCTTGGGCCAGGCATACCCCGGGCGAAGGGCCCTCACCGCCCGGGTCACTTGCTGCACCGTCAGCCCAAGCTGCGCGGCTATGGTGGCCGAGGTGGCCCCCGGGGAGGCCTCCACCAGGGCCAAGATCGCCTGATAGCGAGCCAGCGTGGCCGGGAGCAGGCGCGCCGGCTGCGGGGCCACGGTGCTCGGCTCTTCAACTGGCGGCCGCCGTGCGGCCCGCACACCCAGCAACGCCTGCGCCGACTGGGAGAGCTCAAGTCTACGGGAAGCATGCCCGTCACCGGTGGTGCCGCCATGGCCGCCATCGACACAAGCTGCCAGACCCGGTGGACCGGGCCCCAGGATCGGCCGGCCAGCCCCAGCAGCCAGGCGGCGGAGGGCCTCGGTTTCGCGAACCTGATCCGGCCGCCGAACGGTCGCCGCTGCGGCCGTGGCCGCCGCCGCCGCCACCAGCGCCGCGTCGTCGCCCGAGGCAAGTAGCTCCAGGCGATCGGCGCCGACCGCTCGGTGGGGGATGTACAGGCGCAGCACCGACAGGCGGCTGCCCAGCCCCGTATCCTCGTCAGAGGCAGGCCCCGGGTGTGGGGAGACCGGCACCTGGGCCCCGGGATCCGGTGGCCCCGGCAGGCCGAGGCCTGGCTGTGCGAGCCCCAGCTCAGGGAGGCGAGTGGCCGCCGTTGCCGCTGCCGATAGTCGCCTCCCGGGAGATGGCCGAAGGATTCCAGCTGGACACCGAGCGACAGCGGCCCATTGGAGCATTGTGCCCGACGGCCAGGACCAGCTTGGCTTCAGCCCAGCAGAGACCAAGGGAAGGGGGAGGGGGGGACGAGGTGCAGTGGCACGGGGGCGCACAAGAAGAAAAGCGGAGCTCAGGGTGTGGCGAGCCGGCCAGCGCCAATGGGCTGGTCGAGGGAGGGACGGAGGGAGGGAGGGAGAAAGGGAGGGGGGAGAGACGGTCGAGCAACGGCGAGTAGGCGTGAGTCCAAAGCACCGGCAGCCATGTGGGTGTTCAGGGGGAGGCGAGGGGCATGCAAGGGCCGATGTGCACCATGGTGGGGTGATCAGCCCAAACGGCGATCCAGCTTGTGATCTTTCCCTCCTTCCTGCTGTGATTGGACACACAGGAGGAGGGCGGCGCGTGGGCGGGGCGTGGGAGGGGGGGCAGAGAGCCAGGGCAGAGATGCGCAAGGGAGCGCAGGCCAGGAGGATATCGGTCCGGCTGCGTGCGGAGAGCGGGGGCGATCAGGTGTGCGTAGGCTGGATGAGCGGGTATGTGTGTGTGGCAAGGGGGAAGCAGGGGGCTCGGGTGGGGGTGGGGGTGGGGGGAGGCGGAGGGGGAGTAGCCTGGATGGCCGGTGCCAGGGGCCCAAGGTGTGACCCGAAAAGCCGAAAGCACCCGGGCAGGCACGATCTTGGCCCCGGGCACGGCCGGGGAGGGGCAGGGCAAGGGCGACGCGCGCATCCCCGGCCACAGGGCGCATGAGGGCGGGAGACACAGGAGCGACTCGATGGGCCGGGGGAAGCACATGCCCACGCATCGGCCCACGCTGATGGGAACACATCGACGCCGCCGGGGGGGGGGAATCTATTTATTGCAGGCTGGCTGGCCTGGTGCAGGGGAGAGGCGGGGGATCAGAACCCGCCGGTGGAGCGCGCGCAGGAGGCCCTTAACTGGGCCAATTTACCAAGCAGCAGCCGAGCATGCTCCTCGTCAACCAGATCGTGGGCAAGGTACCCGGCGTCGAGGGCCAGCAGCTCGGGGCACAGCCCGGCCGGGCTGGCTGCGTCTGTGGGGCGGTCAGTGTCGGCCGGCGTGTGTGTGTGTGTGTGTGTGTGTGTGTGTGTGTGTGGGAGGGGGGATGGCAAGAAGGAAGGTGGCCCGGCCGCACATACCGGCTACCGGTGTGGGCGGGGCATTCAACCCCCCTGGCAGGCTGTCCGCCAGGGCAAGAAGCTCCCCGTACATCAGTCCATCGGTCGCGATCCACGCCTCGAGTAGCATGAGTGTCAGCGAGAGGTGGTCCTGACCGTGCGTGTGGGTTTTTTTTTTCCGCCGTGAAGGTGCGTGAGAGTGAGGACGGAGCCAGGACGACGGTCAGAAGAACATGCGTGGGCAGGCGGGGCGGCTGGGAGCAGGACGGATGCGCACCGAGGCCCGGAAGTCCCCTGCGCCGATCAGCTTGCTGATCGAGGCCAGCAGGAGCACGCGCTGCGCCCGGGTCCGGAATAGATGGCCCAGCAGCGGGTCCAACACACTGTCCACCGGCTGGAGGCGCGCGCTCCGGGACCTGCGAGATCCCACACAGCCTGCAGGGCGCGAGAAGGGCGGGCATGGGGCGCCGATGTCCGGGTGTCAGCGCACAGACACATAGTGGCAGGCTGTAAGGCTCCGGGGACGCACCAATGGGGAAGGAGGCGCCCTGAATGGAGCGCTGCAGGCGCCAGATCAGCGGCAGGGCCACCCGGACGGATGATGGCGCCGCCGAAGCGAGGGCCGGCAGGGACAGCAGTTCCAACGCCCGGGCCGCAATGTCCGGCCGGTGGTCGGTGAGCAGGGCCACCAGCACCGGCAGCAGCTGGAAGCCCCACGGGGGGGGAGGGGGGGGTGAGTGGATGTGAGGAGGGCACGGAGAGGCGCCGGAGCGCAGGCATGCACTGGCCATTTCCGCGCGAAGGCGCACCTCTGTCGTCGGGAGAAGCTGGCGTGCGGCCAGGTGGTCGACAATCCAGAAGCTCATGGGACGCAGGGGCTCCGCCAGGAGGCATCCCTGGAGGGCCGGCGTGGCCAGGTGCGCAACGGCCCATGACAGGAAGAAGCTGTCCATGCACGCGTGGACCCGGGGCCGGGGCCGGGGGAGGGAGGGAGGTCAGGGGGCGGGCGGGCGGGCATATGTAAACAACCAACAAGGAACGGGCGCAAGGAAGGGAAGAGGGAAAGGCAGAGAGGCTGTTCCGCACCCGGGCTCTGCTCTCGCCGGTGTTACATGTGGCCCGTGAAGGGTGCATGGGAGTCAGGAGGAGGTGTTAAAAGCAGGAGTCGATGCCAGACGCACATGCGCGCGCCTGCATGCCCCCCCCCCCTCCTGTGCTTCACTTGCGAACGGGGTGCCTGACGTACTAGCGCCATAGTTGGCCAGGAGATCCTCGTTCGTCGGGCGCCGGGGGCCGGCCGGCGAGGCAGCCGCCGTCGCCGCCGCCGCCGCCGCCGCCTCGACCGCGCGTAAGTCATGCTCGAGAAGGTCGCGCGTGGCTCGCAGGGCAGTCAGCTGGACCCCGGCCGGCGCGGCGCCCGAGAGTGCCCGGCCGAAAAGACCCTGCAGGGCCGGATGGTTGAGGAAGCGCGGCAGACGCTCCCCCGCCAGGGCACTGGCCCGGAGGAGGGTGTCCCACAGGGTGCCGCGCGGCCCGGCGGCCAGGGCCTCGGTTTGGACCATCTCGGCCGCGGCATATATCACATGTACCAGCATGCCGGCCGGACTGCCGGCAAAATGCCGCGCCAGGACCGAGTCCCCCGGGAGGGCGCCGTCCGGCGCATCGGCCGGCCGGGCCAACAGCGCCAGGATCAAAATCCCCCGGCAGGCCCGGGGTAGGTGCTCCGGTGTGAAGACACCGGCCGGGACCGGCGGCGCCGCGGCGCCCGCCGGCCGCGGGGCCGACAGAGGGCCTGCGGCAGCTGACAAACGGAGGGGACGCTGCTTCGGCGTGGTGCCCGCCGCGACCGGGGGCTGGCCGGGATCCGGGAACAGGTTGGCTACACCCGAGGCCGACATGGCGGGGTACGGGCGGGCGGGCGGGCGGACGAGCGGGCGGGCGGGCGGGCGGGCGGATAATGCATTGCCAGGTGTCAGTCACAGGTCGGCAGGCCCGGCGCACGGGGCGGCCATCCCAAAACGTGGCCAGGGCTGGTGCGTGCCTTCACAGTAGGCCAGTAGATGCCCGACGGCTTGGGAAGAGCGCCGGCCTCGGGCCAGACTCAGCACGGCCGGCACGGCCGACGCGACGACCTGCATGCCGGAAAGCACCGGCGGCCGGGCGGTGTTGCGGGTGTCAGATCAGGACGTCACACGGGTCACAGCAGGGACAGGGCGCCAGGACCCGAGGAGAGGGGAGGGGGGGGGGGACGCACATCCGGCGGGCCGGTCACCGCGGCCACCTGCAGGGCGAGCAGGGTCTGCTCGAAGCCGGGAGGCTGGCGCAGGGCCAGCCCCGGGCTCGCCAGGCGGATGGAGTCAGCCAGGACGGCGAGGGCGTGGCCCGCGTGAGTTGGCCCGGCCGGCGCACGCAGCCGGGCCAGCAGGGTGGCCAGCATGGGCAGGCGCTGGTGCAGCAGCCCCGGGTGCGTGCGCAGCCAGGCGCCCAGGAAATGCGCCACGCCGGCCAGCGGCGGCCCGGCTGGATGCTGGCCAGGCTCCGACTTCATGCTGGCCGGGTCCGCGGGAAGCTGGCGCCACAGCGCCTCGAAGGACGCCTCGGCCAGGAGCTCCGAGCACCGGGCCAGATGCCGGGACTGCCGGGCAGCCGGATCGTCCATGTCATCGGTCTCCCCGGCGCCGAGGGCCGCCAGGCGGCTGTCGTCATCCTCATCGCCATCCTCCTGCGCCTCCTCGCCGGCGACATCATCGGTCAGGGGGTCTGGGAGCCGCCGGGCGGTGGCCGCCGGCGGAGCACACTCGCGGCAAGTGTCGCGCCTGGCCGCGGCCCAGGGATTCAGATGCGCGCCTTCGACCGTGGCATGGCCGGTGCACCGGACGCACGGGACGGCTGGCCCGTGCAGCACGGCCGACAGCCCGGCGTGAGCCCGGCCGAGAGCCATCATCAGGAATTGCGAGAAGGCGCCATGCAGCGACGCCTCGCCGGGCTGCAGGTCCAGTGTCTCGGCCGCCAGGGCCACGATCCCGGCGCACAGCTCGGCCCGAGCCGGGCCCGTGCGCATAAATGGCGCCGAGGGAAGCAGAAATCGCTCGAGCGCATCGCACGCGGCATTCTGTCGACGCGTCGGGTCAGACGGGCACAGCAGCGGGGGCAGGGCATTTGGCGTGGGCTCCGGTCTCCCCCCCCCCCTCTGCCCTCCACCCTCCAGGGCGCCGGGGGCATCAGGCAGGGGAGAGAGGGAGAGGAAGGCGGGGGGGCGGGGCGGAGGCGGACCGCGGGGCACGCACCACAACCGGCGTGCTGGGATCCAGCATCCGGCGGAGGAGTAGGGCCACCAGTCGTGCGAAGGACACATCCGACGTCGGGTGGGCCAGGAAGTCGGCCACAGCTTCGGTGGCCGCGCGTCGGACCGGCGGCGATACGTCCTGGCAGGGGGATCGGTCGCGAGAGAACCCCAGACGTCAGTGTCGCATTCATGCCTTTCAGCAGCCCCGGCAGCAGCAAGGGCCAAGGGAAGGGAAAAAAACCCAGGCGCGAGCCCGCAATGGCAAGCGTACCTGAATGCGCTCGGCCAGAAGTGCTTGAGCGGCCGCAGTGAACGTACGCCCAGCTGGGCCGGCGGCCGGGTGGCAGAGGGCAGCCGCCGCGCGCCGAACGCCGGACGACTCATCGGCCAGGGCGGCAAAGATGGCCGCCTGGATGGCACGCTGCCGGGCCAGCTCGGGATGCCGGGCCAGGCCCACAGCTAGTGCCTGGGTGGCCAGTACCCGTGGCCGGCTCGGGGCGCCGGCCTCGCCGGCGGCCAGCTGGGCCAGGCACAGAGCCGCCTGGAGCCGAAGGTCTGCCAGGAGCGGGTCGCCCTGGCTCGGGCTCAGGCCCGGGGCCGGGGCCGGGTCCAGCACCACCACGAAGGGAGACACATCGCAGGCCAGTGGCCGTGAAAGGCACAGCAGCCAGGCCCAGCACAGGGGGCTCGAGTCATCCAGGGCATTATCGGACTGGGACTGAGACGATGATGGCGGCGGCAGCACCACGGCCGAGGCATTCGGCCCGGGGGCTTGCGGGCATGATGCACACACGGCCGGCCGGCGCCCGGCCGGCAGGGCCCGATGTAGCATGCCCACTGCCAGACTCAGCTGGAAGCGCCCGGCCGCCAGGGCCAGGAGGCTGCGCGCGTCGAAGGCCGCGGTGGTGGCCCTGGTGGCCAGGTCCCGGGCCAGTTCCAGCGTCCGCCCCGGGGTCGGCGGGGAGTCGGCCTCCGGGCTGCTGGCGGCTTGCAGCACGGCCAGGGCCACATCCACCCGCAGGGTGGCCAGCACCATGTCGGGGGTCGCCCACACGCGGCGCGCCAGATGCCCGGCCAGCGGCCCGGCCGCCGGGTAGCCCGGCTCCCGGCGCAAGACCAACAGTTCGCCGATGACGCCCGGCAGGCAGCTGCCCGGCATGACGGCAGCCGCCTCGGCCCGCCAGGGCCCCATTTCCAGCAGGGCCCGACGCAGCAGCGGCAGGTGGTCCCCCGGATCGGAGCCCGCCCCGGCGGACAGGGCATGGCGCAGGGCCGCCGCGGCCAGGCACTCGGCAAGCATGCGCCCGGTGGCCTCCGGGCACGCCCGACGACCGGGCCGGGCTTTGGGTCCACTGGGCCGGGCCCGTGCACGCGGGTCCCCGGCATGGCCGCCCGCCCGGCCACAAAGCAGGCAGGGCCCGGCCCCGGGGGCCAGGAGCTCCGGCGTCAGCGGCCCGGCGAAGGCCAGCTGCGCCAGGTGCACCAGCAAGAAGGTCACCAGCGAGACGGCCGGCCCGGAGCCCGGGGACAGGCCCTCGCCCTGGCTGGTCGGCACGCCGGCTGGCAATGTCGGCGCCCGGTGCCGGTCCCCGGCGCCCGGGTGGCTGGCGCCCAGCGAGAAGAGCATGGCCCCCTGTAGTGCGGAGCTCAGCAACTCCCCCGGGGGGATGGTGGCCACGGTGGCGACGCTGGCCGGCCCGGGCGGCAGGGCCAGCGCCAGGCCCATGCTTGCGGCGGCCGAGCGAAGCCCCTCACGCCAGGGGCTCTGGGCCAGCCGGACGGCCCACAGCCCCAGCCGCTGGGCGGCCTGGCGCACGGCCGGCGCCAGGTCATCCGGCGAACCGCCGAGGGCGAGCTCCCGGCGCCAGGCCGCCCGTCGGACCAGGTCAAACACAAACCCCAAGCGCAGCTCCAGTGCCGAGCCGAAGGCGCGCAGATCGCGCATGAGGCCCCCCACCGGTCCGAGCGGGGCTCCGGCCTGGGTGGCGTCCCCCCGGCGCGAGGCCAGGGCATCGGCCGCCGCCAGGGCCTGGCAGGTGTCAGCCGCCAGGGCCAGGGCCAAGGCCACGTGCGGCGCCATGGCCGCGTCCTCTTCCGGGCCTTGGGAGCAGAGCAGCACGAAGGTGCAAATGCTCAGGCACTCCCGCAGGCAGGCCCCGGGCCCGGGGGGCGTGTCATCCCGGGGACAGGCCGACTCCTCCGGCTCCTCCAGCTCCTCGGCGTGTTCCGATTCCGTGGGCTCCAGGGCGCCGAGGGCCGCCAGGGCGGGCAGCGCGCCGGCTTCGCCCTCCACATCGCCGAGCCGGCGGGCAAGGGCAAGCGCCTGTCGCCGCAGCGACCAGGCCAGCCGGACCAGCAGCGGTCGCCGAAGGGCCCGGTCCACCAGCGCATCGATCGGCTTCGCCCCGCCCGCCAGGGTGCTCAGCTGCGGGAAGACCACCTCCTCCAGACGCTGGATGTCGGCCCGGGAGAAGTGGTCACCGGGAGATTGCACCAGGGCGGCGCACAGTCGCGCGAATTCCCCGGCGAAGGCTAGCCACCGGCGCATTGTCATTCCCACGGGTCAGCAAGGGGGCGTGCGTGTCGGGGCACCGGCCGGGGCCGGCGACGGTGACAGCAGCGACAGCGAAAAAAAAAAGGCAAGAGGAAAGCGAGGCACATTGGCGCGAGCCGGGAACGCACCAACGGGTCGCCGGAGCAGGGCAGCTGGCAGATCCAGCGCCGCGTCGATGTGCTCCGGATGGTCGGCCAGGTCGGCAATCCGCGCGGCCGGGAGCGCCACCCCAGCGGGGGACGGGTCTTCGGGCCGGCCGGGGAGGTGGCCATCGGCCGCGGCCCCTTCCTCGGCCCGCGGCTGGTCCGGCTCCAGGGGCCGGCGCATGGGCAGGGAGCCGGTGCGGAGATGGAGCGAGGGGCCGAGGGACGCGGAGGAGGCTGTGGCTGGAGCCACGGCAAAGGGTCGTACAGACGGCAGGGAAGGGGGCCGACAGCAAGGCAGGAGGCGATAGGGCGAGGGCAAGGGCGAGGGCGAAGGGAGGGACGCGGCCGGGGGCGAGTGGTGTGTGTAGTGTGCCGCGCTGTCGTGTGTGTGCGGCGCGGGTCTCGCCGGCACATCAGTGGGCGTGTGGGCGTGTGTGCCTCACCGGGAGGCACGGACGCCGCGATGGATCGGCACCGTGCTACCCGGCGCTCTCGATCGTTCCCCTGGTGCGCGAGCGGCTTTTTTAAATTGTATCACGCGCGGCCCGGGCGCCACGCGTGACCCGGGGCAGATCCGTTCTGATGTGGGCACATTCCAGGGCGTCGCCTTTCGTGCCGGCTCATCTCCCGGCGGTCGGCTGTCTGGCGCATTGTTTCCCTCTCCATCTCATGGCGCACGCGCTCCTCCTGGCGTGCCGGCGGGTGCGCCCCTGTGGCAGTAAATGAGGGGTGCGGCGCGGCGGGGTCGGGGGCCGCGAGCGTGTCCGAAGAGCGTGTGCTATTGCCACATGCGGAAAGTTGGATGCCGGGGTTGGGGCCTGCCCCGGAAGAGGGCGGGGGGAGCTGCCGGCGGCGCGCGTCTGCGCACCGGGCCAGGGTGGACGGGGGGGGG